ATGTGGAACCTGTGTACCCAATAATTAGAATGATCCAACAGGCTGGCCATGCTGTTATCTTCACTCCGCCCTACTATCCAGAATACCAGCCCATTGAACTGGTTTGGGGCATTGCCAAGCGCTACTATGATGCTCATGTGGATGAGATACCAATGAGGTGGCCCCACCTAAAGCATTCAGAGGCTGTCATTCTCCTGTGGAAAGAGGCAATTGGAACAATTACAAAGAAGGTGTGGGCGGAATGTGTCCGACATGTAGAAGACAGAATAATGCAAGACCATAGTGAGATTGTTGGCAACTTTGGGGAGTGGACCACTCCTACCCCGATTGTGATACGTGTGGGAAAAGACTCTGATGACTCAGACTCCGATCCAGACGACCCTGAAGAAAATAGTCCTGCCTCAGGGGTGAGATACGTAGTGCTTCTTTAAGTTACTTTGTAAAGACACAATTTATAAATTGCCCTCTTAAAAATATTTCAGAACAAGGACCCATACGATGACTTGGCCACACCTTTACCTTTGAGCCCCAGTTCAGACCATGGCTTGCATTCTGACGACAGAATAGTTGAGGGGGATAACATTTTGTGTGACAGTCAAAATTCAATCAGTATAGAAGACAATGGTGCACCAGACAAAGTTTTGTCCCCTCAAGCACCGCTAGTGGAATACACATCTGTACACCCTGCAGTGTCCATAGCATGGAGCTTGCTACCAAGCAGGCTTGTTTCAGAGGACGAAATACAATCTGCAATATCAGCAATAATTTCAGATGTAAGGTGCAGAATTTACTGAGTGTCATCTACATCTAGCTTTACTGCTGGACCTAAATTTTCTCTGTTCTTACAGGATGCCTTGTCAATCCATCCCTCAGTCATGGCCCAGGTGATGAAAGAAGACACAAACCGCCCTGACTGCAACAACAATGAAAAACATTCTGCTGATGTTCCTTGTCCCACCTACATTCCTGATGGTGACATTATTATTTCAAGTGACGATGAGGAGACTCTTTTCGTGGATGGGTATCGACATCCCCTGAAAGATATTGAGGTATAAGCAGCATTTCATACAGTTGCTAAAATTTAAAAAAATATTTTAAACCATTGATTGATTGCTGATTGACATCTGTACCTACTCAGGAAATCACCAATCTTCATGAGGACACCACCCTGTTAGTTAAATTTGGCATAAATATGACTGTCAAAAATTTGTTGCCTCTTCTTTCCAAGACGGAATGGCTGAATGACAATGTAATTAAATTATGCTAAGAAAATGCTACTTACATTATCTTTCAGTGTTTTTATGTATAAGTTAATTGTCACTATGGTGTATTTCCAGATAATTTATTTCTATCTGAGGCTACTTCAACTTCATGTGCCACACAAAAAAATTCATGTCTTCAGCACTCAATTTTTTTGTAAAATTAGTGATGGAGATTTTGATGGTGTCAAGAACTGGGCCAAAAATGTTTGTTCAGTATAATTACCTGCAGTTGCTATTGTTAATGTTCCCTTTTAAAAATAATTTTTTGCAACTTAATTGTTTTTCTTTAGGTCGATATTTTTGACTGCCATCTGGTGTTGATCCCTGTCCACCTGGGGATGCATTGGTGCCTTTGCGTTGTGGAGCCCCAAGCAAGGACCTTAACATACTATGATTCTCTTAATGGCAGAAATATAACTGGATTAAGAGTAAGCACTCTCAGCCCTCTGTACTATCATCTATGGTGTTTATTTTTGTACATTATATGCTGTTTTCAGAATGTTCTCAGATACCTGTCAGATGAAAGCAAGCGGAAAGGCCATCCCTTCATAGCAGGACAATGGAGAATGTTTAATGCCGTAGGAATTTGTAGGCAGCCAGAAGGCAATGACTACGATTGTGGGGTATTTGTATGCTACTATGCTCGGATGGTTTGTGAAAGCCTTGATATAAGTGCCACTACTGATTGGCTGTTGGGAATGAGGCTGCATATGTTGAAGGAAATTGTTTCATGTTCTATACAAGGCGGCTCTGTAACTGTAGGTATTGAATTGAACTCTTTTACCGAATCTTTCCAACATACTAAGTATGGATATGTTACTTTGCTTCTCTCTGCAGAAAGTCGATTCCTGCAGCACTTTTCCAACTGTGGTTTTGTACGATAATCCTATTGTGCACCATTGGGAAATCAAGAGGTCAGGCCATGGAATTATGAACAATAATGGGCAAAATATTTGCTTTGCAGCATCAATTGTACAGGTATAAATATTTACTTTCAGCATTTTTATACACACTGGTGATTGTGACTTCTACCTATGCCCTTTCGAGAATGACTGCCTCAACTCCACTTTTCAGGCTTTGTTCAATTGTGCACCGTTTGTGGCTTGGCTCGAAAGTGATGCAGAGCATAGAAATGCATGTGACCAGAAGCACTGCACCTCCTGCACATTACATCATTTGTACACTGAAACATTAAAAACTTCACCTGACCTTTCCCAATTAATTGAGTGTATGTCATGTAAGTAGAACATGTATCAGTGTGCAACTGAAGATTTCAAGCCTCAGGTATTATTGTTTTTTTGCTCTGTGCATTTGCAGCTTTTTGGCCTGAGTATAAACTGGGACAGCAGCAGGATGCACATGAATTTCTTATGAAATTGTTCAGCAATTTAGAAATTCAGTTTCAAGAAAGATTCCGAGATGCCATGTAGGTCACTGTACTGTCAGATTTTCTTTATTCATTTTCCTCCCTGTGAATATCTCTGTATTAATCTGTTTGAAAATTTCAGTGTGGGTTACTCTACTGGGACAACACCTGTCTCAAAAATATTTGGTGGTTGCCTTCGAACCACAGGTAGTCACTTGCATATTTTGCCTTGCCTTAGTCACTATAAAAAATGCTTGACAATTTTTTTTCCAGTTTCTTGTTGTAGGTGTCACAGGGAATCAGCAAGCACCACTGTACCCTTTAGAGTACTTTCTGTAAATGTCCAGCCATCATTAATAGGCTCTTGTAAAAAATTTTTTGAAGAGGAGGTGGTAGAGGGTTACAAGTGCAAAGGATGCCACAATTATGTAAAAGCACTGAAAAGAACCTCTATAGACAGTGCACCAGAGATGCTTGTGATACATTTGATGAGGTAGTTCAACATTGCACTTCATCTCTCAGACATGATTACCGGTAATAATTACTTCTTACTTTTTAATTTAATTTTTTTTGTACCACAGATTCTCAGGCACAGGCCAAAAACTAAAAATTTTTGTGAAGTTCAATCCAACTCTGAATGTAGGCTTGTTTATGAGCACCGTGGGTAATGTGAGGTACAATTTTAGGAGTGTGGTGTGCCACATTGGTGAAAGTACCTCATCAGGGCATTACGTTGCTGTCGCTCAGTGCCCAGATCAGCTTTTCAGGAAGTTCAATGACTCAGAGGTAAATGTTAAGCAGAGCATTCGAAAGAATGTTTTCATTCCGCATGTCACCGTACTTTTTCTCTAATTGAAGGTGATTTGTATGCTTAGGTTACTTCATCAAGTCTACAGAAAGCAATGCAGGAGCCAGCCTACCTTCTCTTTTATGAGCGTGACATGAAACAATAATAATTGACCTGGAATAACTAGTTATTTCTGAACTAGTATTAAAGTCATATGAGATGCTACTGTGATAATCCTATTCTACTTGTTTTTCACTTTTCATGTTGAATTTTTAAGAATTTGTAATTGTGTTAGTGACTACTACAGTACTTTTATGTCTTGTACCAGTTCCTATGTATGTTGTTTTCAGACATCACAGTTTTATTAGGTTTTAATTTAAGGATAACTATCATTTTTATTCACTGATATTTGAACCTGCTTAAACCTACAGTTATTTACTTTAGTGTCTTGAATTCATGGTTTCAGAATTAAAGAAACAAACAAAAAGAAAACAGTGGTTCAGCACACTTTCTTATCGGTGTCCTACTTCAGGAGATTTCAAATTTGTCCGGATCGGTGTGAAGAGCGCCATTCTCATTGTCATCGTTTTTTAACACTTTTTTGAACGGTTTGAGTCTCCCGTGGTTCGATTTTGGGGTTGGTGCGCCGGCAGCAGACGACGCGGCGGCCGCCCTGCGCTCCCTCCGCTCCCCGCGCCACCCGCGAGCCGAGCGGGGAGCCGAGCGCCTCGTGCGGTGGTGGGGGCACCGGCTCGGCCGCGCTCGGCCGCGCCTCGGCTCGCCGAGCCGAGTGTCAGGCGCGGTGGTGGGGGCGCCCGCTCGAGCGCCGCCGGAGGGGAGCGGCCATTGTAACGGTCGCAAGAAGGAGGACCTTAGGCTGGTCTGACTATAGCTATATGTGCGCCAGGCGCGTCGCAGCGTAACAGTGTTTCGTGATATATCGCGAAGCCTGTTACGCGAGACGTGGTCTGGCGTACATATAGCTAGTACTCCAGTGATCAAAAAGTTTCGCGTCTGTCTGTCTGTCTGTCTGTCTGTCTGTCATCACGATAACTCGAGAACAAATTGAGCTAGCGACCTGGGATTTTTAGGGTCGTTTTGTATCATAAAAAGACAGATCAAGTTCGAAGTAGAGCATTCTAGCTCAAAAATTGCATTTTAAAAAAATCAAAAACCACAGGTCCCCAAAATGACGTTTTTTAACAATATTTTATTAAATGTTTCCAAAGGGGTAACTCATCAAAGTAGACCCATATGAACAAAAATTTCGTCCGTTTGGCTCTATCTCTAACCGTTGAGGCACCAGACACTGTTTTCTACACGGAAATGACCCCAAACCATTTCAATGTTTTTCTCAAATATTTCATGGTCTCTGAAGGGTCAACTCGTCAAAATAAAACCTTGGGGAGCAATAATTGTGATTTTTGGGGCCAAAGGCCGAATTACGACTCTTTCTTTGGCCCGATTCGGGTGTAAGCGCCGCAGGCCTAGGTAGATGTATGCCAGGCGCGTCGCAGCGTAACAGTGTTTCGTGAGATATCGCGAAGCCTGTTACGCGAAACGTGGTCTGGCGTACATCTACCTGGTCATATTCTCATGTCATAATATTTTCACATTCCTAATACTTGAAACACCTTTAATGTGATTGCAGAATGACATTTCTTGTGCGGGGTTTCCAAGACAATTGAAATCCTTTTTAATGTGTCAGTGCGATGGAGGGTTAGAAACAACACGACTACCTTTCTTTGTAAGTTTATTGCTTTATTAAAGAGGTTCTCTCTGCTGCCTGTCGTTCCAACTCCTTTGCCCTTTTCTTGAGACTCGACTTTGCATTCTTCCTCTGCTTCCATGTCTTTTGGTTTACCTGTGAAAAGCAACCGTGTCAAGTTTCAAACTCCACTTAATTAAATTGTGGAAACCTTCAAAATGTTGGTTATTGACTGAGCGATCAGCGAAGCCTATTACTCCAGTGTTTAAAAAGTTTCGCGTCTGTCTGTCTGTCTGTGTGTCTGTCTGTCATCACGATAACTCGAGAACGAATTGAGCTAGCGACCTGGAATTTTCAGGGTCGTTTTGTATCATAAAAAGACAGATCGAGTTCGAAGAAGAGCATTCTAGCTCAAAAATTGGATTTTTAAACAATCAAAAACAACGGGTCCCACTAGTAATGTTTTTTAAAATATCATTTTATAGTTTCCTAAAGGGAAGCTCATCAAAGTAGAGCCCTTTGGGCGAAAATTTCGTCCGTTTGGCTCTACCTTGAACAGTTTAGGCGCCACAGGGGGGTTTTGACGAAAACAAGCGAAAAAATGTACAACCCTGCATGCTTAGTCGAAGTGACGAGAAGTTGACGGCCCGGAGGCCCGTATCTTGGTGTCAATTTTTGCGCTACCCGACTCGGGTGTCAGCGCCGCAGGCCTAGGTAGATGTATGCCAGGCGCGTCGCAGCGTAACAGTGTTTCGTGAGATATCGCGAAGCCTGTTACGCGAGACGT